ATCATCCTATGCCAAACTAAATGCCCAAACATGCCAGTATCTTAATTTTAAATTCTGTGTTGACTTACATAGGTGCCAATATGTGCATCAATCAAGTCCCAATGTTCATCATGGGAATTTGTATTTTCATGAACAGGTTTTAAAACCTAGTAGGTACTGAAATTACTGCCATTTCTGTATTTCTTGACAAAGTGTCAGGAATATTAAGAAAATGACAACAGAACCTTTGTTCATTAGATACACATACCACCATCATATCCATCACCTCCTCGTCGCATTCTGTCATACATACTTCCACGCCCAGCTCCATAATAACCCCCTCTTCCTCCTATTGGTCTATCATATGGTCCCGGTCGCTGTCCCAGCAATCTTCTTGGAGGATCATAAAATCCTTTGATTTCACTCCTGCTACTTCTGAAGATCTCAATATACCTATTTAAAAATGGTTTAAGGTACAGGTTTCAGCATAAATGTATTAGAGTAAATAAGATATTGGGCAAAATGCAGTAAGATTTTCTACATCTAGATAACACAACCCAATTTAAATTGCCTAAATACACATGTTAACATAGTTTACACCTACAAACTTAAATAGTTAATATTTAAGTTTTACAAATTAGTCATTTGAAGACAATTCATAAAATATAAATATAATTTTAGCTTGTTTCCTTTAGTACATAAGTGTTTAGAGAAAAGTTGATTACACAAAAGCAATATCAACAATATCCTACACAGAAATGGAAACAATCTAATTTTAATTTAAGCAAACTATTAGCATTAATTCCCCACCCAAATCTGTTGTTTCCAAGTTAAATTTAGATAATTATCATTTTTAAAACTACCCCAGAAAAATGTTGTTACCCCCCCATTTAAGCAAGTGACCCACAACCCCCAAAAATAAAAATTTAACACCATCCCAAACTCTCCATCCCCACCTGTGCCCTATTCTTTCCTTGTGTTTCCCCAGAGCATTTTCTGCTATCTCCTTTGAAGCAAACTGCACGAAGGCCTCCCCTGTGCTTCTCCCCTGGTAGTCCATCGTCAATGTTATCCCATTTGGCACGATTTCCAACCCTTTAACCCAAGGACAAATAACCCCATCAAGGGGAACAGTGTTAAAGGCTGAAACATTCCCATCTGAATCAATATTTAAAACAAGTCTAAACAAAACAAAACAAAACAAAAAAAGCTTAGTTTCCCATCACCCCATAATACAAACGGAAGATGTTTTTAAATATTATTGGATTACATAAAAAAAATTGTTTTGTGACCAATGTCTTTTAAAATTACATACTCTAAAAGCCCACCTACTATTACATGGAAAAAAAAAAAAGGCTACAAATCAAATTTAACTATGCTCCATATAATTCATGTTTCATTTCATCACAATTACTCTTAAGTTCACTGTACATTAGTTAGGTTTTACATATTTTACACATACTATATTGAGTATTAACTGGAGCACATTTCAAAAGTTAATACATTAACCAAGGTTATCATACCCAAAATAAATCCCCCAAATAAATGGGTTTTACAAACTATAAAAACTGAGCAATAGAATACAAATATAACAGTAAAATACTACTAAACTTTGACTAATACTAGAGGTACCTTGAAAGAACTGAACTATTTCCTCTTTGCTGCAACCAAATGGCAGTCCACGAAGTCGTACTGTCCCATCACTAGCGTCATTTGGACCATTATGTTTCATAACCCAATCCATCTCAATACCGTTTGATTTTAATGCTATAAAAATAAACAAGCACACAAAGCAGTCAATCAAAATACACTCATCAGAGGTACTGAAGAAAAACCTCAATGGTATACAACAGGAATTTAACATGACTCAGTGATGCCAGTAATAACTTTCTAATTTGAAGACAGGCAAAAAGTGGGAAAAGGAACTGAAACCCAACCTTTCCCCATCAAAATACTCAATATCCAAGGACCAATTACAGATGGCCAGATTTAAGTAAACTTACATAATTCCCTAAGGGCTTCAACTTCTTCCTATTTCTTGACTCTTAATTGTCAACTCTTGCCTCCTTCCTCATTTCTTAAATATACATTCACATTTCCCAGCTTTCATTATGCACTTGAACAGTTATGAAAATTACTTAAAATTTAAATTACTTACAAGTTGTGAATTGTACCGCCATCCACTTACATTATGAGCCTAAGCCAAAAGCACCTGAGTACTTGGGGGGGAGGGGGAGAGTGAGAGAATTCCCATTTCTCTTTAACTAAATCTGGATTAAACACTTTTCAAGAACAAAGTTTTAAAAATGACTGCATTAAGTTTAACTTTAAAATTAAGATACAAGGTCACTCAAAAATGAATGTCTTCTAGTATTTCGAAGCCATCTGTTTGGAAGTTACTGGATAGTATACTGAAAACCAGTTTTCTCCTTTAAACACACTTTTTAGAAAAGGTAATACAATTTAGAAAGCATTAAGAAAGGATAGAGAAGCTCCCCTTCCCCTCCAAAGTAACCCACCCCATTCCATTCCCAAGAAAACACTGCTTCTTAAAAAAAATCCAGAACATTTAAAAGAGGCTAATGCAGAAGTCCTTCAGCTGCAGAAACTTACCAGACCTTACAAATGTCACTATGCAGCTGTAGGAATCCTACTCACCTGAGTATTTCAAACCTTTCCCTCACCACTTCCTCCCCTGTAAACAAAACAATTTGTTCACTTGATTCCTTTATGTGAGAGGACGTATTTATCAACAGTAGTCACTAATATTTACTATCATATGATCTAATTTTCAGGGCTATCTAATTACACGAGGGGGATTATTTCCTGCAAAGTAAAATTGTTTTCTTCCTAGAACCCACACATTTTGTATCCATCACCTTTGGTACCTGTTTACTTTTAAAAAAAGAGAGATTCAAACAGCAAGAATGCAAATTTTTAACTGCCTTTACAACTAATTCCCATGCACTCAAATAACCAGTATCATCTTTTAAGAGAAATAAACTGGGTTTGAATTTATCCTGTCACTTAAGACAACTAAACCTCTCAATTGTAAAACATAGCAGTAGAGCCTATTCGTGGACAGGTTCAAGAAAAATTCACGGTGCTTGATCTGCAGCATTTAATCAGTTAGTAGTGGCCACTGCTGATGGGAGTTTAAAACTAAGGAACTGAACGTTAAAAACCGAGTCTTACTTAAAGGAAAATAAGGACTGGTATACATCTTTTTTGAAGTCAATAAGCTTAATTCTTAGGAGTCGACAAAATTGGAGCTGAAAGGCATGTATTTAAAACAAAATTACTGTTACTTGTGTGTCAGCTAGGCAATTTAAAAAATAATGCTCAAGAGTAATTGGAATGTAGTACTCCCAAAGTGGTGTGGGAAAAGGAAAATCAAATGTTACTTCCCATGAAATTTAAGAGAACCTAAGTGGTGCTTTTTAATGTAAATATATACGTTTTAGGAGCCAAAAACATGAAAATTTACTACAAATGGTGGCACTGTCCAAGAAATACTAGCATGCCAACTAATCTCAAATCCTTCGATACCACTGAGACCTATATAAAAACAAAATAGCTTAAGTACATAAAATCATACTGAACTGTTAAAATTTTAAGTTGAGGGAAAAGTTAACCTTATTCAAAGATGCAACCATTTTATTGAATACTACACACTCCTGGAGTACACCCCACCCCTACACTATTACCTCTCCAAAACTCCAAGATATGACTTTCAGAATTTTATTGACAAAACCTGAATAACACCAAAAGAATAAATAGACATCAGTCCTAATACTTTACAAAAGTATTAGGCTCACTACCTAGTAGAGTTTATTAATGATTCAGGATAATCCACCTCAATCTTTGTAACACTCACTGCTGATCACATTTCCGCTTTAAGAATTCCAAGTTATTACTAAAAGCACCAGCAGTTGCTACTTCAGTTTTATTAGACTTCGTTATTATTTTAAATGGGATAAAGTTTATAGTATGTGAAATATACCCCGAAGTTGTTATGAAAAAGGATCTAAGAAAGGCAAAATAAAATATAGAATACTTTTATAACCAAAGGGCATGTATTATCTTTGGGGATGTAATACATAATGATGCATCAAATAACTTTCTTGATGGGATGGTAGTTCACTGATCTAAAACAAAACAAAAAACATCATATTTGACAAAAAAGTGAAATTTAACATCATTTCCCCTTTCAAATGTGTCTGCTATTTAAGTTAAAGTAGTCAAAAACCTAGGAGGTGAGGTGTCTAATATGACAGAGTTCTTTTCCAGAACAAAGACACCACCTACTGCAGTCCTGCCACTGTTCACCAAAATAAAGATACCCAAAACAGTTATTAAAAACATGAAGACAGTTAAATGGATTTCCAGTTTATGTTTGGGGGGGGGCAGAAAAAAACGGTGCCGGGAAAAGTTACATAGCATACGAATTTCACAGAAAATTCGGAACTGTATTTTCAGAGTACAGTAAAATCATAAGAGCATCTTCAAAAATAGGATCTTTGTTTTTAAAGCTGGAGAAGTGGGTAACAGGCTTAAAGATTCAAACCCATTATGGGACACTCTTATTCTCAGGCCCTGCCTGTCTCTTGTACAGTCTTCAGTGAAAATTACCGACCCAGTCCCCCTGTTCTAGAAGCCTAAAATCATCTCTGAACATGACCCGTGCTTTGCGTCCCTTTCCACTGAGTGGCTTATTTCCTCCATCAAATTACTATAACCCCACCCTATAATAAAACACATGCTTAGACTAATAGTATTTTGAACTATTTTACTTCCACAGCTTTAATACCACCTTCGAGATTTAAAGTTCAAAGTCCGTAACTCCAGTCCTACCTACACACATTTTTTTCCTGGCCATCACTGTTTCAACAAATACTAAAATTCTAACCCAGCCTGGTGTCAAACTACACAAACATCACTGCCCCACCCCCGCCCAAGACACTAACCCGGGTTCCCAGCCCAAACGACCAGTTGCAGTAGGCCCACATTTTGCATTCCTATGTGACAAGTCACCCACTTCTCTGCTTGAAAATCAACTACCCACGAAGTCTTTCAAGTTTAAAAGCATTGAAAAAAAAAAGAAAGCCGTTGGAAAATGAGTACGTACTCTTTTCGAAGTTCCAACTCTGGAATATAAGGGCTGGCTAAGCGTCCTTTATTCCTCCCCGGAGACACTTCGTTTATCTAGCTGCCCTAGAGACCGAAGCGCTAGGAGAGCACGCCCCTTCCCCCTCCCGTCCGGCGCCGGGCCGGGCTTAAAAACCTTCGCCACCGGGCGGCGGGATTACAAAGGAGGCCGTCCGCCTCCTTTGTCCTGGATTTGGGAGGTGAGCGCCTTCGTCGCCATTGGCCTTCCTCCCCAAGCTCCAGTCTCTCATCTTGGGAATCTGCGTCAGAGGCCGCTCGCAGTCCCGCCAGCCAGCCCCGGTAGCCCTGCCGAGACTGCGGAGGAAGGGAGGCCGGGCCCATCCGGCGCCATTTCAATCCGGAGCGCGCCAGGCAACCTAGATCCTCCCCCCCAAGCCCAGCCTTTCCCTGCTCGCATCGCTCCCCACCCTCACTCGTTGCAGGCCGCTTCGGAAAGCCCCGGCCTCCCCAGTCAGTTTTCGGAAGTTGAGGGGTGAAAGCAGAAAAGCGAGATGGGCGGCGGGAAGCCGGGGCGGCCGCGCCACCGTACCCAAAATGGCGGAGGCCAAGCCAGCAGGGAAAGAGAAAAGCCGGATGACCCCACTTCAGGGCTCGGTTTCGTCCCCTAAATTCCACCCGAGCAACTTCTGCGACCCACACGACGCCCTCCCTGAAGTGGGAGATCGCTTGGGAGGCGCAGCCCGATCGCCTCAGAGCGGCGACCTCCACACTCCCTCCCCCCAACGCCCTTCCCCAGTCTCCCTCGTCCTTCTCCCGATTCCGTTCTCGAAACTACCAGCCCAACCTACCCCCTTTTTACTTCAGATACCCTGCCGGGCGACAGTAGTGCCAACTCCGCTACGCGGGGGGTCCGGTCTGAGGAGGGAGCAGACGCCCGCCTCGTGTAGCGCTCCCCACAACGGTCCTCCCAACCGTCTCCGACGGCGACAACCGCTAAGGGAGCTGCGCAGCACAGCGACTGGCTTGGGGGGATGGGAGAGAGCGAGCGAGAAGGAGGGGGTGGAGCGAGAGCAACGAAAACCGCCCAGTCCCGCTCTCGCGAGGGTAGAGAGTCCCGCCTTGGCGCGAGCCGCAGGAGGTGCGCGTGCGCGCTGGCGGGCGCTCCGTTGGCTGCGCGAGAGGTGGCGAGCAGTTTCGCGGTCTGCGCTTTTCTTGCTTACCTTAAAGCCATCAGATTCTCTCGATTTTTCGCTGGTCTTTCCGCCACCTAAGGGAGATGGTAAGATGGCAGCGGTTATACCTCTAAAGTGTTCCGAAGGCATATATTTTGTGTTTTGGAAACTACAAGTACCCTGTCCCACCTAAAACGAATCTTTAAACGCCCCGCCCTCACCACCGCGCCACTTGCGTGCAAAGGG